GTGAGCGAACAAAGACGATGGAGAAACAAGATTTGTATATTTGAACGAAACGCCAGACAGCATATACAGTGGACAGACATCATATCAATCATCATTTTGCGTATGTCAGTTAAATAATGTAGATTTGGTTGTTCAACGTTTAACATAGGTTGATTGGCACAAGCAGACATCAGGCGTACGTGTACAGTGCCAAGTAGCCATGCATTTTAAGCACGACCAACGACGAGTCCACAATCATTTTTTGTCATTTAAAATTTGCCAATTTTTTTTTTTTTTTTTTTTTTTTTTTTTTTTTTATTAAAAAATAGAAATGTTGAAAAAAAATGTTTTTTATTTGATTAGTTTTGTAATAATTTCAAGACAATTTCACAAAGTTAGGCACAAAATATTATGTTATTAGTCAACCAAAGCAGACAAAAGTGCACCCTTAACAATGAGTTATTATATATTAAGATATATTTTATAAACAATCGTAAAACATGAACATAAAAAAAACCACAAAAAACTTATACGCAATAGAAAAACACTAAAACCTTATCTTTAAAGAACATAATTATAAGCACCATGCATTACTTAATAGCTACTGTTTCACATATGGCTGCGTGCAAGCTATTAACTTTTTATGGATTTGTTTATGGAACTTTTTTTTAAAGGAATAAACAAAAAAAATGTGAATAGTACAATCTCTCAAGTCGAGTGAGAGAATTTCAATTTAAAATAAACCAATCATCCACTTTTTCGCCACGTTTCGCTTGACTGCATTGTAAACTTATTTCATTCAGTCAAAAATCGGTAAGGAAAATCGTAAAAATTTCAAATATTAAACGGGAAATATTAACGGGAAACACATTGTAGATGTTGATGTTTATACGATATAAGTCTCAGTTGTTAATCAGGTACCAACCTACGCTAAATGATTAAGTTGGATTGGATTGAAAATGCAATAAGCAGTGGAAAAGTTAGTTGGAAAATGGTTTGCGAGATTTACTGCAAACAACTTCAGTCTTGGAAACGATAAGATTTTGTGTACGTCTCAGCAAAAGCAAGCCAAGAAATGACCTTCAATTTGGGTTAGAAGCAGCGCCATTTACTCCATTTACTTTCGTTTTCATTAGCTCTACTTAAGATCGACGCAGTCACATTTTGCAGATCAGCGGTCTTGCAAAGTAGAAGAGATATGAAAATGGATCGCTGAGTATTTTGCCTCGAAATCTCAAAGATTCTTTTGTAAGGGCATTCATTATCTACCTGATGAAAAGACAACAAGTTTGATTGTTAACCTTGCTAGCATGTAAGTTATCAGTGCGTACACCTATAACGTTTTCCATTAATTAATGATTTTTCGCCACACAACTCTTCTTTTATAGAAGTCACGCGACCTTTGAGCAGAACAGTCAATATTTGCACAGATACTTTCTTCATTTTATTTATTTTGACCCAGTACCCGGTTGTAAGTTGAGGTGAATAAGCTAAATCACACCCATTCGATATAAATTGGCTCATACCGACTTATTAGAAATATGTGAATAGCTTTACTAATGGGCGCACACCGTTCTTTTCGATTAGGATTAATTGCTGGCTTTGATTTCGCCTTTATAATCAGTTCTTGATGCGGCGCGAAAGTTTCTAATAAACAATTCTTTTCCAACTTCGCAAATATGGAATAATTTTCGTTCTCAGATTTAATCCAACCTTAGTGAGGACTTTAGCGCCCTCTATGTGCTTTCACCACAATCTTCTACAGTTTGTACTGCACTTTTCATCGCCAGAAAGCATAATAGATGATTTCTTATCAATTCCTTAGAGTTCAATACCTTGTGGCGTTAAGCAGCGTCTGCCATCCAGGTTAACCCACTTTTTATGATCATGTTATTCATAGTAAACCATTACTTTTCAACCTAACAATCCACACGCCCAACATCATCTCAATAATATGCGATGCTGTCTTTGCGACCATTTGAGCTTCCACTCCTCCTTTCGATATTAACTTTTTTTGGGTAATATGTAATATTTTTTATCGACCGTGATCATCAGAAGGCATTTGGGCAACTAAAATATAGTCCATTAAAAGATATTCCTTTTAAGGCCTCTCTTCACAGGAGAGGCGTGTCCGTTTATCATCCTAATATCAAATTATATAAAATTATGTATGCTCGTTTATGTTATATACGAGCTTCGCAGTCGCTATTCATCATTCAAAGCTTCGCGACGAAATTTCACAAATTACATCTAACACATACTTTGATTAGCGGTGAAATATCGCCTTAGCGCACTGAAACAGATTTGCGCATTCGGGGCCGTGTCGGAAGAAGCAGCGCTAGTGCTAGCTGGCACTCTCCCAGTCGACATTCTGGCCGATGAGATGAGCCGCATCTAAGAACGGCGTCGCGGCAACGAGCTATCCTCACGCATCATAAGAAGCGAGGAACGGATGGCCTCGTTGAGGATATGGCAGTCGAAGTGGGAAGGATCGACCGAAGGAAGACGGACGTTCGTTCTTATCCCTAGCATAAGAAGATGGGTTGAAAGACGCCACGGCAAGGTAAACTATTACCTCACCCAGCTACTGACTGGCTGCTTCCGGAAATATCTTTTAGTACGTGGAAGTCGTATTTGCTGCTATCAAGAACCGGCAGTATCTTTTGAAGATTTTCTACCTCCAGCTCGCAGAGCAAAAAAAAACATACTTTGATTATAAGTATTTCGCACAAGGCGCGTATCTTTTTCCGCTCGCGCAGATCACTTTTGCACTTGGAGATATACAAAAACGGAATCCATCAAGAATACATTCACATATGCGTTCAAATGTCCACAATAGCGAACTACATATACCACACAACTTTAAGGTTTCATAGGCATAAGGTATGGCACTCGTATCTTGTCAAACTATCACATCTGCTGTGAGCATAAATCCATTCAATCGATATTAATCAATGCTAATGATGAACTAACTCATTTATGTTCCTTCAATCAGCTCCGATATACTCAACCGGCCTCTGACTGAATATCCTTAACCTATTCATCTTCATGAAGCAGGCTCTGGTGCTATAGTTAAAAATAATTCCTTCGATTAAATTTCTGAATTAGTTTTCTTATGCGAATTTCAAAGATCCTAAAATGCCCAAGATATCGTAAAGAATGCGGACGACAATCTGATAAAGCTTTCCGTTATTGCAACAGAAAACATTGGACTCTTAAACAAACGAAGCGAATGTACTAACTGCTCTACTACTAAGACCAGCTTGCCTATGCTTCTCATAACTAGTCGTGTTTCAGCCGAATAATAACAAAAATGTCTTCTACATTACGAACTACCACTTAGATGAGAGCTGCTTTTTTAGCGAAGGGTCGACCAGGAACTTCTAAAAATCGTTTTAATATATAAGATATGGAATAACGTTTGGAATTCTTTGAGTACGATGCAACTATTTCCCGATTTCTCAATAACGTAAACAAAAAATAAATCGCCGCCTGTTCGAAGTCCATCCATTTGTCCATCCGATGATCCATTATAGAATATTATTATTATAAATTTATTAAATTATATTATTACATATAAAAACAAGTTTTGGCGATGACACTCTGCTGGAAATACATTTTCACTTCACTTCAGCCTTCATTACCAATTTTCTGACTTGTCTCCAAGTTATGTGCTTCACAACGAGACATAGATTATAGCGATAAACATATTCTCTACTCTGCATGCAACAACCTTACATTTACTTTTTTTAGTTAACAAAATTGTAAGAAGAAAGAACAAGTACGAAAATTATATTCGATTGTGATCGAATTTTTTATACCCATCACCGTTATTCCAAAAGAAAACAAAAAAAGAAGAAAACTAGATTTTTATACTTTATAATATGAAGTGCGCACATCTTGATTTTTCCATTTTTACAATAAAAGTTTTTGTCGCGCAGGCGTGTGGGCGTCGTAAGAGTGCCCTTAGATATTTAAGTCACTTCAATTTGCGAAATTCTTTTGCCAATTTGTAAGCGATATCTTTATTTTGGCTAACGGGAGAATGTGTACCGCAATCGCTACACATTTGCGCAGACGGACAGATGGACAAGCTTAGGTGTATTCCAAATTTGAAACTGGCGAAGAATTTATATACTTTATGAGAATGTTGCAGCTTGTCTCTGCACCTTATACAGGTATTGAAAAGAAAATTAAAATTTGATACACTATAATACCGGGTAGAAGCGGTCCAAATTTTTTCACTTTTGGGCCGATACTACACCCTCGCCCATAGAATATGCTTTCAAATTTTTGTACATTTATCTGCTCGAGTTTATGAGTAATGAGTAAAAAATTAATTTGTTGTCCCTTTTGAACCGCGGTGTTTCCAGTTTACGTGGGTGTACTGTAGGCGATTTCTTCAATCGGCGTGCAAGAACTTTCAATATTTCTGCCTTTAGGCTTCTGCCTAAAGTCGATAACTCCATTTTCATGTTTACAACAGATATTACATTGACGGACAGACACAAGTGGATAGTCACAGACGGAAAGACGGACATGCTTAAATCAATTGGGAATTTGATACTGATCGAGAACACATAAACACTTTTCATCCTTCAGTGATGGGTATAAAAATTAAAAGAAGATAGACACTACAAAGAAGTTATAAAGAAGAAGGGAAGTATTCTTCGATAATATTATATATTAGATTAATTTTTCACTTTTTTTTTTTTTACAAAAGAAAGCACTAAACAGAAAATAGCTTTAGAAAAAGTATTGAATGAAAGAAAAAAAAAAATTCATAAATAGAAAAAATTTAAAAAAAAAATTAATAAATAAAAAACATAAACCGTATCCAGAAACGAATAACCAGTGCACAAATAATGCGATTACGATTACGAATAAATATAAAATAAATGAAAAGACACACAAAACGAACCAATTACCATGAGAACGTGTACGAATAGAATAAAACTTTAAATACATTAAACACGTAAACTAAACGGATAATTGAATTTGAATTTCTTTACTTGACTTACCTTACATACGTTGAGTTGGCATTTTTAATTGAGAAACTATTTTGACTGGGCAGCACATATTTTTGAATCAACTGTAAAAATATCACATAAAATAAATTAATTAGTAATAAATAAAAATTATAATGATTGCGCCTCTCTCTAAATAAATCCGTAGCGAAAATCAGGAAAACTTAAAATGTAAAATATTTCGAAAATTTCAAAGCAAATCCTTTCGATCTGTTGCCTAAGGGTTACTGTTATTATTATTATTATTATTATAAATAAATTCTAAGACTAAAGTCTCAAAGCACTAGCACCTAAGGCTTTCGGCTTTATTAAAAACTCTATCGCACTTGAGATTTGAACCCACGACCATTGAGTTGCTAGTCGAGACGTATAATATTTCGATATACTGCTCGCTTTTATTTGGTCAGCCGTAGGGGGCACCTAAGCATAGAATGATGGTCTCTCAAGCTTTGCCGAACTGTTTAAAAACGCGTTTTACAAACCCCATTGTATACCTTAACTAATACAGCTCCCGGTAGATAATACACATCTCATCGCCGCTAAATCTGCATTTTTGAGGCATTTGAGCGAAAAATCGCCAGTTAGTATACGATTCATATTGAAATTGTTATTCTTTTCTATCCCAAGTCTGCATACACTTTTTTGCAAGCATTGCTTGTTCAATATTGAGATTAGGAATGTAATCGACATCAGGAGGTGATTGTTAAGCCAGAGCACCTGCAGTTTTAGCATTCAAAATCTTCGCACTAAAATCTCTCGAAAATCATTGACAGTGTTCTTCACTACATCGTCATTATATATATCTGCTATGAATTTAGCAAGCGTTCTTGATCTCTCACGACTAGAAAAGTGAAAACAGCTTCGAATATAAGAGTTTTTCCATTTGAATTAAATTTTCATTAGATTTCGCTAAACTCTTCCACCAGCGTATGCACTTGACATATAAGCAAACGGATAAACTAATGCGGCCGTTACCGATTTCGCTACGAATTTAAGATTAGACGCCATGTTGTCTGTAAATTGTCGCTATTATTATCATTTGGAATGTTTTAAGCTCATGTAACAATTTGCGCATTCCACAATTTTAGAAGTATATATAATCGGTAAGATATTGGGATCATTTCCGCATGACGGCAGATTTCAGTCCCAATATAAATCTTTAAGACTTCACTTATTATACTTAATGTATGAAACTTAATGTATAAAAAAAAAAAATAAACTATAATAACAAATAATAATAATAATAAAAAATAATAAGTAAGAATCCCATAGTCGGACAAGGGAGACTATTAAATACCCTACAAAATTTCTCTTAATTAATAATACACCAAAAGTTATACATTATTATACTCATCACCGAAGGATGGGGGCGTATAGTCATTTCGTCAAAACGTTTGCAACATCTAGAAGAAATCATCACAAAGTATATAAATTCTTGATCGGCAACAAATTCTGAATCGATTCAAGCATATCCGTCTGTCCGTCTGTTCTAAACATCTTCTTGGCAACAAAAATGAAGCTATCGACTACAAATTTGGTAGAAACATTGCAAGTTCTTACACGCAGGTTAAAAGTAAGCAAAATCGGTCGAACCACGCACCTACAGTACTACGTTAAGCAAGGACACCTCTGTTTTTCAAAACGAATAAAAAATTTGTTTCTTGCTCATTACTTATAAATTACAGCAGATAAATCTACAAAATTGACCGTATATTCGGTGGGTGGTGTTCTAGTACCTCTACAAAAATGTAAACAATCGGCTCACGCAATTTTTTTTCAAAACTTTTATGATGCACAGAAGCAAGCTTCAAAAAGCTCGTAAAGTATATAAATTACTGACCAGTTTCAAATTCGAAATGCACCTGCTGTATCCGTCCGTTCATCTGCCCATCTATGCTTCTGCGCAACTGTGTAATATCTGTAGTAGGCATTCTCTCGTTCGCAAAAATGAGGATATCGCTTACGAACTTGTAAGAGGATTTGAAAAGTAACCAAACTATAAAGTACAAAACACATGCCACTTTTCACTGCCATATTACGGTGATGGGTATAAAGATTCAGTCAAGGCCGAATATAATTTTCATGAAAGCTTTTATATTGGAGAACTTAATTACCAAACTTAATTTACTTATCAAAGATTTTATTATTTTCCAGTTGCTTCCGTCATAACAAACCACTAATTAGGCTAGAAGACTAAAGGGTTTGTTTTCATGGGAGAGCGTATATATAGTGTGATTTATGTAATCCAAATTTTTTATAGTTAATTTAATAAGTATTAAAAATTAGGCCCTATTTTTCATTAGAACTCTTATAAGGGGTTGGAATCCATATCAAACCTACAAGGTTCAAATTTAATGTTAAATTATTACTATGTATATATTTTCCTCGAGAAATATTGAAAATAAAGCCTTTTTACTATTTATAGATTCAGTTTGTGTAGAAACAGTTACACGGTATGGAATTAAAAAAATTGCCGCATCCGATCGAAAGTTTTCACACCACTTAAGAATGTCGAAAGACTATTACTAGAGGATTTTTATCGCGAAATTCAAAAAATAACAATATTTTTTCTGCACATTAACGCTTTATGTGGGTTGTGGTTGAGAGAGTGGTCCGATATCCTTATGCTAATCCACATCAGTGTACCAAATTTCATCAAAACATCTCGAAAATTGCAGCCTGTAGATTGAACACAAGAATACACGGACAGCCGGACAGACAAGCTTAATAAGAACAAGTAAGAAAGTTATATTCGGCCGGGGCCGAGTCTCGCTTAGTCACCACCATGTTTTTCGCGTTCTACTCTCCAAGTTCTTTTATTTGATACCTATCTCGTTAGTGTTATTAAGAAAAAATTATTTGCGGTGTCTACCATATTCGTTATAAAATTAACCCATTTTTAGGCAGATAATATATCTTCATTTAAGGAGTATACAAAACCGATAAATAGCCACAAAAAAAATGAGAAAAACAAAATTTAATCAATTGTAACTTTGTGTGGACAAGGCAGGTGCTTTCCATTTTTACATGTAAGGCGTAGAGTGTTTTGTAAAGTAAATTTGGAAAATTTCAGCCACTCTAACTTTTATAAATTCCTAGTAATTGAGTTCCGTTCAGCTTACTCTCCACTGCGGGCTTCTGCTCTACCTAATTTTGCCCATTTTCAATACCAACCTGCATGCAGAAACTCCCAATGTTTCTACTTAATTTGGAGTGGATTTTTGCGACCAGGGGAGTGACAACAATACATACATACCATACAGACGGACAGACATGGCTAAATCAACGCAAAAGTTTCACGCTGGTCAGGAAAGCACTGATCCTATATCTTCGTTTCGCTGTTACGTACACTATGGGAAAAAACACGATGAGTGTACCCCCTTCTTGCAGTGGTGGGTGTAACAAACTCTGATACCGCAATCAACAAACGAACAGCCAAATGGGCAGGCTTAGGCGGACTTCAGTCTTCTACTTAATCAAGAACTTATGCATTTTTTTCCTCTGATGGGTACGAAAACATTTTTCACGGCAAAGTTGAGTTTTATCAAAAAAAACATAGATATTTAATTTTATTTAATTTCATAAATGTAGATTTCAGCAATTCATACATTTGAAGACTTAACTTAATTACGATATAAGTAGAAAAGTCTTAAAACTACAGAGAATTAATTCCCACATATAAGAAAATAAACTACGTGCCTATCAATTACTCATCAAACTTCGTATCAGAATTCTTTAACTTTTAGTTTAAATAAGACGTCGGCATCGCCCGGGCATTCAGAAGAGTAGTTTTAATGGATGCAAGAGCATCCGATAGGGAAATTAGGTTATAAACTTTATTTAAATTGCTACAAAGAACCCATAATTTAAACTACATTGGCTAGGTTCAAAGAAAGTACCTTGTCGGACGGACACGAAATTAATCGCACTTAAAAAAAATGGATAGTTTACCATGAAAGTAATGTCCGATACCATCCTACGTTTCGCAAGTGACGACAAGGCTATAAGCAGCAACCTATTTTCATAATAAAGTATGGAGCACCCCTGAATCCCAAGACAAATTACAGAAATTGCTTTTGCAATGACTCTATGGAATTTACATGGCAACGATACGACGATGATCTCATGACCGGGCTGTATTCCAATGCAGGACACACACTTGTGGGTCGTCGAATTTCCTCGGCCAGTGTTTGATGAAATCTAGTACTGATCTAGTTTTAATCACAGAGTGTTCAACATGCGAATTAAATTGAATTGAAGTTTATAATCAAAATAGGTGTTTAGGTGCAGAAATGAATCCACGCTGAGTGTATAAAATATCCTGTGTCGAACAAATTCCACAAGTTCCAAAATGACAGCTTCTTACATTTCGTTTGATTGAACCTCATGAAATTGAAGCAACACTTACGTCGTCTGATGATTTGATATTTAAAAAAGTTAACCAGTATGCGGGTAATTGGAAAATCCAGTTGCCGTCTGGTAAAGTTTTTTTTTTTTTGCACGTAAATAAGTTTGGCTATGAATCGGTTATTTTTGGGCTCGCTTTTACAAGCATGCAGACGGTCAAGCACAGGTAAACAAAGAAGGCAAACATTTGCCTAAGTCTGCTTATAATCGCTCGACATTTGCTATTGTTGCAAAACGAAATAATAAAATGTAAGACAACTACGACTACTACTACTACCACTGCATTGATAAATTAAAACACAATGTAATGAATGAAATAAACATTTAACTAAAAGATTAAATATAGTAAAATAAATAAATAAATAACCGACTAATAAACAAATAAATAACTTTAAGTAAACTAATGCATAGATAAGTTGCGGGCGAATAGAAATGCAATCATAATCATAACACTTTTATTCTCTTACCTGACTATTTGTTAAAAATCTATTACCCATGCACGCCGCCATATGTATCACAAGATATAAATTAAATAACAAATATAAAATAGCAAATACACCTAAAAAAAAAAAAAAAAGAAGAAAATAAGAATAAAAAAGTCATATAGTAAAGTCATATAAAAACTTACAAACAACTGCCAAAATGACACCGGTGACGTTTAAAGCTTCTACTTGATTAATAACAAAATATAAGTTCACCCCTATCACAATCATTGTTAACAAAACAGAAACAACTTTGTTGCCGCTGAAAAAACAAATACTTGTATATACACATATGCCTATTAAACTAAATTATTAAGTGTTTGCAAAATTGTTGATCAACGACTTCTACCGGTAAAAATGTTAAAGAAATGGGAAATACCAGCATACATCACAGATCGCTCTGTGGGTTTAACCTCTGCACCTGGCTTGATGTCCGGGGGGAGAGACAAACCCCTAATAAGGGGGCCTTTCTTACCCCGAGGTGCGCAGATGGTTCACCGTGTATGGCCATATGAACCGCCACTCTGGTATGTGGTGAGGCCTATGATACTCCCCGAATGGCCGTACCTAGCTGTAAGGGCTCGCAAGGATGATGTACCTTTCAGCGAACTTTCCTGGTATATGACAACCCCTGCGAGCGGGCTCCTGACCCCCGTGGTGCTTCAAATTAGTCTACAAAGCCTTCAGCCTTACTTTGCGCTTTGTACTACTAAAAATGTAATACGCCACTCTTGCCTTTAGACACTACCATACCCTCAAAGTTAGCCAGTACCGAACTATCTTTCTTCAAGATATTTAGTTATCGGGCGTATCAACTGGCATGACCAGATTACCATGCTCTCACCAATTACTATATTGTAGTACTTCTACTAACCAGATACCATTGAGTGCGGTTAGATTTTCCTCTACAGTAATGGCTTCTGAGAAGATATATATAAAAAACTATATCCCAGTGAACCCCTAAAACCATCTATTAGAAAACTCGTCGCCGAGTTATAATAGTCCTTTGCCTTAAACTCCTCTTCGCCGGTCGAACCGTTTCCGGGGATCACCACTTGGAGGTGAGAGTTTCGGCAATTCTACGCTCCTTACGGAGCATAGTTTATCACCCCCAGCACACATCACAGTTGAATTTGATGGTTTCGACCTTCCTCCATATAAACTAACAGTTTTCCATTTAGTATTATTGATTCAATCAGCGTACACCGACGCTAGTCATGGACCACTCAAAATTCTTCGTCTTCCAAATTCATTATTTCCGTTGTCTATTTGAAGAAATCTGCTGCCGAAGCTTACCAAACACGTTCAAAAGGTTAGGGTAATGCTGCTCCATCATATCGGGTTCAACGGTTGAACAGTGGCGACACGAAGTGACTGAAAATGCCATTTTTTGACCACTTATTGCAAGAGTTGTCCAGAGTACACTGCTGCAGATCGAATAGGAAGTGCCGCGATACCCAGCATACTCACTAGGCATCATACCTCCTGGTTACCACTTTTTTAGATCGGTGCAGCATGACTTACCCGACATGCGGGTCCGCAAAATTGACGAAGTGCAAAAATGGGTCGGCGAGAGGGTAAGTGCTTTCGACATGATATCGCCATGTTGTCAAAAATATTAGACAATGTCGTAGAATATTATCGAAACTATTTTGATTAACATAAATTATATCCATTTTTTATCCATTTTTTTTTTTTCAAGTGGAAAAGTGATCAAAATTTTTGCAAACACCTAATAAATGAATGAAAGTTAAGTGTTATTCAACTTACAGGCCATTAACGAATTCACCCATAATAGCTGTGCATGAAGTAAATGCTATCGTTGGTATAGCTGCGAACGGCAATTGCAAGGACATGACAGCATTTAAGATATCATTCATATTGGTCAAATCTTCCATGCGACTAAAGAAGGCCAAAAGGAAAGTGGGCACGATAGCTATTAGACGAGTGAAGAGTACACGACGCCAACGAGGCCATTGCAAATTTAAAAAGCCTTCCATCGAAAATTGTCCAGCATATGTACCGGTCATAGTCGAGCTTTGACCAGCCGCCAAAATACCAATACCCCATATAAACATGGCGGCGGCTCCGAATGTACAACCTAAGAATAAACCGCCTTTATAGAGATCGGCATCGATGAGATCGTTTCCATTGTTATTATCTACAAATGAGTTTTTCGCATCTTCATACATCGACCGATTCTGACAGACTTCCAACTTAAAATGCATAAAAATAAAAATCATTAATTTTTTTTTTTATTAAAAAATTTTATTACCACTTACCACGTCGTTATTAGTTTGACCGTACATACCATGGGCGAATACTGCCACCACAAATAAATTAATAATAAATGAAACGAACAACGCTACTGATGCTTCGATGAAAAAATAATAATTGGCTTCACGTACTTTGGCAGATTGGCGGCGATCAATATCACGTGACTGTTCAAAAAAGGGGAAAAAAAAAAATTTTTTTTCATACATTTTCATTTTTATTATCAAGAGTATTTGTTACCTTAACTAATGCTGAATGCAAGTATAAGTTGTGAGGCATTATAACTGCTCCCACTACACCAACCGCTTGTAGCAATACGCGGGAATTGCAATCTTTACACCACGGTATAAACATACCTTTTATTACTTCCATCTGATCAGGAGCCGATACTATATACTTCAATGAAAGAAAGACAGACAATCAATGATTTTTTTTTTTCATTTTTTCATTTTTTCTCTCTTATTATTGTAATTAGTTTAGACAGAGAAATCCTATCCCAATCATAAGGGCAAAGTCTTAAAGCACTCGTTTCTAAGCTTTTTGGCTCTATTAAGAAGCACTACCACACTTGGGATTTGAACACATGACCAAGAGATGTTAGTCGAGATCCCTTACTTATTCGGCCACTCGGGCGGATAATATTTTCGTTTTCCATACCCATCATCGAAGGATGAGCGGCATATCCATTTAGACATAACGTTTGTAACGCAGAAAAGGAAGCATCAGAGCATATATATTCTTGATCAGCATTAAATTGTAAATCGATTTAAGCATGTCCGTCCGTGTGTCTATCTGACTGCGTAATGACTGTTTTAGACATACGCCCGCGAAATGAAGCTATTGACTTCAAATAAGGCAGAAACATTGAAAGTTCTTGCACGCCGATTAATATTGAAAATGGTCCCGATAAGCCGAAAGACACTCCTACAATATCACGTAAAGGGAGAATATCTCTGTTGTTCAAAAGGAATGAAAAATTGATTTTTCGCTCATCGCTCATAAACTATAACAGGTAAGTGTACAACAATTTGGCTGGATATTCTAATGGCGATGTACAAAAAAGTGAAGAAAGAATTGACCCCGCCTGCCCTATATTATAGTATATCAAAATTAAATTTTTTTTCAAAACTTTCAAGCTTCACAAACCCTAGAAACTATATAAATAATTTAGACCACACTTCGGCAGGTCCACCTGTCCTTCTTCCCTACTGTTTCGTATTTGTGGCGAAAATTCTCTCGTTAGCGAAAGTGTTAGTACATCGCTTGCAAATAGGCAGAAGAGTTTGAAAGTGACAAAAACTTTTCAAAGGAAAAGCGTACGCGACAAAAACTTTTATCTGCCGCGCCGCAAATTTAATTCTTTTCCTTTTGTTGATAACGGTAATGGATATAAAAGGTTCGGCCCCGATCCAATATAATTTTCTTACTTGTTTATATAAGACCTACTTTTAAGATTTGTTTTGAAACCACCCTAGCTAGTATATTATATTAGAGAAAAGTTGGCAAAACATAAACAGACGTTTACGGTATATTTGCTCTTGAGTGCATGTCTGTCGGCTCGTCCAAATACTGAGACCTTTCGTAGAATAAACATAGTATGGCTTCCTTGTCTTTTCTAGTGCCTGTCCTCATCGACTGGCTTTAATAGCTTCAAGAGCAACTACGCTCCCTTTAGCCAACAACAATTAGGACACATCTGCACACATTCTGCCAAAACAATGCCGCGCGTTAGCATTAAAAAATTCAGGTCAAATCGGACAAAAATTTTCCCCCCTTTTAACATTATCTTAAAATAATATTATGTAGAAGAAAATTAAAAATAGTGTGTACATACACATAAACCGCAATAAAAATAAATACTAATAAAGAATAAATGTTAGTAACATTAAGATAAATATTTACTTTCATGTCATTTTATATTTACAATTATTTTTAGTTGTATTAATTGTAATAAAAATGAATATTTATTTTCATGTCACTTTATTTTTTTTTTTTGTTAACCGCTATATGAAGATTTTTTTGTTTCTTTGTTTGATAAATAAAATTAATATTTATCTTCATATCAGTTCATGTTAGTTCATGTCCGATAATTTCATTACTTTCCAGGACATGTATTTTCTTAGATGAAGCATCCATGCAAGTGATAATGTCATTAAATAGTGTCAAATAATAGTTCATGTGTGAATAACTGACACTTCTCTAGGAAATATTTGAGATACGAATGGTAAATATTTGAATCAATGCTTACGTAGTGAACAAAGTAAGCAAACAATTTGCTCTTAAAACATCTCTTAAAACATCTTTTGTTACAATGATAGGGTAAATAAATTAATTATATGGAAAAATCTACAGATAACTATAAAACAACACTACAACGTTACCCTTTATCATAACCTATAAATAAGTCAACTTAAGTCTTAAGTCGTCTTAACACCCGAGCTATCAAGGTTTTCTATATAAATATGAATTTACCGGAAATCATCAATCTGCTTATCGTCACAGTCGCAACAATAAAGATAGAAAGCCGACATTTGGCATAAACTATCGCTGATTAATTAGCAATATTTGTTTAAAAAAAAGGCCTGATCCGGTCAAGCACGCGTCCATAATGTTAATAATAATACTAAAACCACATCAAAACACGCCTATAATTTTTTTTAAATTATCATCTATAACTTTCAATACCTGAAAAACAGATCCCCCTATACTCACCAGAACCACGTACGTGTTCGATTTATTAATACGTCTACAAATAAAGATAAAAATTTATATCCAACTTATTGCCTATATATTCTGACCCATGCTAGACTAAGTTTTATTGCTAACTGCGTATGCATTAGTAAGACCGTCAGAACTATTTTTTAATTGAACGTGGAGCTGCTCTTAATGGACAACTAAATCACAGGTTTTCGAAAAAATATCATTTTTCGAATTGATTTTAGCTTTCTCTACATTCTCGATGTGTATGTGAACAGATCAGATCCATTCTTTAACCACGTATTTCTAATTGACCAAGGAATGTTTGTGCCAAAATTTTACCTTTGTACCTTTATTTTTGCGACTGCGACGATTCACAAAATTCATCAGTCAAATAGAAGGATTTCGGTAATAATAAGTACATCGTAAACTAGAAGTACTAAAGTGAGTGCGTCCCAGAAGAAAAGATTTGATATATATATTTGACGCATTAAATCATTAAAAACCAGTGTATATAGAAGGTATATACTTGCTTATGCCCAATTTTTGAGCTTGAAATTAGAAATCCATTAAATAGACGGGTGCAGTAAATTTAGTATTAAGTAAGCGCACACAAATGCATCTATTGAACGTACATATATTTGAAGCGATAGAAACTTATTTTAAAATAATAACTTTCTAGAGATTGGCAATCTTATCATTACTTCTGCATTCCGTTAAAAGTGCTACAAAAATGTTTCGCAAGAAGGCACTTATTTCGACGAGTAGTCGTTATTTATCTAAAGTGGCTTGCTATATATAACATAACTGATTTTTAACAATTCTCACAAGCAATAATAATATTTGAGGCATAATTAATTGCTTATAAGAGCTGCCATCTTGACCGATTCTTTCATGCTGATTGACGGGTACATAGAATGGCCCATCATATTGCAAAGGCTTGTCATAGGTCATAGGTCAGTCGCAAGAACAAAAATGAAATGCAATGATAAGGTTTTATTTGGGTTAAAAAAGGTAAGAAACAAATAAGACAGCTATATATTGGGCGGGGGCCCAATCTCGCATATCCACAACTATACTTTTCGCATTCCACTAACCAAGTTCTTTTATATGTTATTCATATCGCTGGTATTATTAAGAAAAACTTAATCGCGATGTCTACGATATTCATTTTAGAATTAGCCCGTTTTTAGGCTGATAATACATCTTCACTTGGAGAATGTACCAAATAGTTTTAAACAATCGGTCTTGTTTGCGTTACGATAAATAATAGTAAAAAAGCAAAAATGATAAAATTTAATCACTCGTAGCATGGCCGTGGGCATGGCCGATTTTTTCCATTTTTGCACGCAAAGAGTAGTAAGAGTAAATGTGGAAAACTTCAGTCTTCTAATTTTTATAATTTCTTAGTAACGCTCAAAAATCCACAAATTTTTTGTTGGATTTGCTTTCAGTTTATGCCTCATTACGGTCTGCTGCTCCGATCAATTTGGTCCTTTCTTAATACCAACCTGCGTGCAAAAACTTCTAATGTTTCTCCCGAATTTGAAGTTCATAGATCAATTTTTGCGACCAGGACACACACCGCAAACACGGACAGACGGACAGACACGGCTTAATCAATCCACAATTTTACGCTAATCAAGAGTATTTATACTTTATAGGGCCTGTGAAGTTTTCTTTTGGGTGTTAGATACAAAAGGAGTACAATATCCATCAACCCCCTCAGTGGTGGATGTAAAGAAGGTTACAAGGTTATTGAAAAACCACAACTAACTACTTTTGAAGACTTGAGGAAATCGGACATTTTTGCATTCAAAAATAACGAAGGGATCATTTTTGACGCACAAATGTTACATGACGTCAGCAGTCAGCACCTCAAAGACAAACGGCTTACTACAACAAGGACCAACTTAAAAACCTAACAGTTACTAAATACAATCATAATATAACTTATGTCGGCTTAATGTTGCGCATAGAGCAGAGGTGCCTTTAATGATGTAATCTTTGCCAAAGATAAAAAAAATCGTTAATTGCTCACGATCATTATGCCTTGTGCAACTAATATATCAAACAATAACTGAATTCAACTCAGATAAGAATGCAATCACGAGTACACTAAAAAGTGATTAGTTTTCTAAAAAAAGTATGTTTTTTTTATGAACAAATATATTGATATTTTTCAAGTAAATATTTGAAAACACTTGTGCTTTTCTGAAAATTGGAAACCCGAAGAATTATAGAAATAAATAAAAACATTGACTTTGTCTTTAAACATTCGAAACTTATCAAATATTTGCTTTGCTCAATTAAATTTATCTGCTGTTCACAGTTGTTGATAAAAATATTTTCTAGCTTTTTGCCGGTTCTTTCAAAACTCAAGGTTAATTGCAAATAAATTTTAGTTTCCGATCATTATGGTAAACGATTGAATACAAAAAAAATTTATTTAAAAATATTAATGTAATCGAACTGCCTTACTGACAAGTGCTTCTCTCGCTATAAGCTTTCTATTGCGTTGAGTGAATAGAATTATCCACTTACCTCATAACCGAATGTCACAGCCATTATTGTGATGAGGACTCCAAATAAAAATTCTAGTTTTCTTAGACCGTACTTATCTAAAAACAAAAACGTAAATGTATCGACAATTGTTATCAAAGTGCCGAGCCACAGAGGTACACTGCATAAGAGGAAGACACACACACACACCGAGAGAGAGAGAGAAAGAGAGATAAAAAATAAAAATGTATAAATAAAAAAAAAAATTTTGTTTTGCATTCAAAATTCGGATTAAACTTACAACTTATTTGAGAGTAAATAAATAGCTATTGCGGTACCGATCACCTCTTGCATATCTGAACCGATAATCGCAATTTCTATCATAACCCATAGTATAAGACGCGGTAACTTTTTATACTGACGATAGCACATTTCAGCCAAATGGAGACCCGTTACGACTCCCAATCTAGATGAAAATGTTAAAAAAATTCATTTATTTGATTATTTTTGATTTCATTAATCGATACATACCTGGCGGCCAATCGTTGCATAAGTAAACCCAAAATGGTTGCCCATAACAGAACCCATAGAATTTTGTATTTAGCTATCGCACCACTTTGTAGATCAGATTCTATATTACCGGGATCCAAATAAGCGATAGACATTAAAAATCCAGGTCCCGTGAAAGCCCATAATTTATGCCAACTGAAACCCACCTACAGATAATTAAGAAAATTACATAATTATATTTTAATAAATTATTTTCTCTCGGTCCTGTGTTCGATACTCTTACCCTATCGTTTTGAGGTATTGTAATTTTCTCATCAGCAAAGTACGCTTGTTTAGTACTTGCTTTCAAATGCGTTTGTTCGGTGGCTACGATCTGTCTTTGCAAATGTGCAGGTAAATTTGTAGTGCTTCCATTGCTAGTACCGGCACTCGTTGTGGGTGCTTCGCCATTTTGATCAGCACTATAAGCTTTATTCACAGACATGTTCTTCGTTTAAATCTTAAATTAGATAATAAAATCAAGAGCACACATTAACATACCATTAAATGTAACATTATTTATATATATTAGGTCGAGTCATAAGTAACTTCCGATGCAGCGAGGTAAAATCTATTGTTCGTATTTACTCACTATAAGTGAGTTTTGTTTTGTCACTATATAGATGAGGATTCAGTTAGTCTTCTGTCAACTGTTTTTTATGGTGCATATTACATTCACTGATTTCTCTTAACCTCAAAAAATGCGTATATGACATGTAATGCTTTGGAAATTTAAACAAGGCAACAGCAGTTAAGGCGATAGTTAAAAAAATATCCAGCTTATACGGTGAAGGAGTAATAACTGATCGGGCTGTTAGAAATTGATTTGTAAAATTCCAACACGGGATGTCCTTCCGACTTTGACAACAATCTTTTAAGGGTAATTTCGCATCAAAATTCACGCCAATCAACAAGAGGCGTGATATAGCGAAAGGGTTGAATACCGCACAATCAACTGTTATTCAATGAAAACTAAATAAAGAAATGAAAGTTACTTATGACTCGACCCAATATTATATATATTATAATACGCTCGGATGTTTTCCAATGTACAAGGACGAAGTGATGAAATGTTTTCTACGGGAGAAAAATCATTAAATTCAAAAAAACGATAAATACTGGTTCATATCAAGTATGCTTCGTCGTTATTTATAAATTTTTCTGATATTTTGGAAAACTCGTGAGTGCTAGGCTGGTAAATATCTGCCTCGTTTGTCGCTAACCGTTCACAGAATCATCTTCATGCGAAACAAAGCATCACTTAATAAGCATGTGTCCGATCGATATAAGGAATTGGTGATCGGAAAGAGCCAAGTGCAGAGAGTAAGTCGTGTAGGTCTGCACTTTCCAGTTAAGTACTGTCAACGTGCCGTCAACCAGTATTATGTTATGATTTGCTTTTTCTTGATAGGTTTTGGTATTGACACTTCGCAATAGACTGCAGCCTTCTCAACTAGATTCAGTTTTCATCCCCAGTAATAATACGATGCACAACTTATTATTTATATATATATGACTATTCAAAGAGGATGATAACCCCCGATGTAACATAATGTCAGTCTGAAACAGGTGAGGAGAGTGAGAGCAGACGCAGCCTAGAACGTTGAGTATTATGCCTTTGTCGATCGAACACTCACTACAGCTATGCCCAGGAAGTCTAGGCGCCCGCATTGAACTGAAAGCCGTTATGTCGACTTGGTAGTCGCGCTTCTTAACTACTTGGCTATTAGGTGCACCTACAGTGACTTTGAAGTAATTTTTAACATGTATTTTTGGGCCCCCACTTCTAAGTCTTTTCCATCTTTCATAGGTGATCGGAAACAATTTATTGACTTAAGTTTAATTGCTATTCCAGTTGCTTTTGCTTTTATGCATCATCGTCCTCCATCGACGCTTGGGGTTATACATCTTTGTGCTTTTTTCTTGTCTGCTGCTTTTGTCGATATCATCACTAACACGTAAGCTGCAGTGAAATGCACTCACCATTATTTCTTCTCGAAGCAATAAGCCAATAGGATTCAAGAGCAATTTCTTTTTAAATGAAAACAAAACGGAAATGAAAAAGTTTGTCCGCGAATGCTTTTCATTTGGCAAAAACTTCGACATACTAAACATGGCAAAAAAGCAATATTTTGCAAACACTTTATTAATTTATCGCTTGCTAATGTCGCAGCAAAACATCATTTATCTCAAATGTTTATTCGGTACACTGCATTCGTACGCCATCTGTTTCTTTAATCTTCATTTTGCACTTACATACACCTTACACATAGCTATATGCATTCGTTAAGCTTCGTTGAGATTTCAATTGATTGCAAAACGCGAAAATGTTTGATTAAACATCCTATCATCGATATGCTTTCTCAAGGAAATGCTAAAAAATACTTATTCTTGATACATTAGCGGGTTTGTTTCGTAAAACGATGTACGTTTGTCTCTCCCTCGGTCCATGTGTTCGTCTTGTTTCCTTGTGGTCAAGCTACAGGTCGCAATTTTTAAAATATTTCGATAAAGTTTGCTGACGCGCTTTAACCCTACGACAAACACTATCAGAAATGACTCGGATCGAAACACTCTTTCCTTATGTGAATAACTGTAGTAAGTAGGGTATTTACTGGGGTGCCATGTCTCACTGTAGTGTCTTTACTTATTTTTAAAAAGTGTTAATAGTAATACATATGGTTTCAAAAAAAAATTGCTTTGTCATCTCTCATAATTTTTAATACACATTTAATGCAACAAATTTTATCTAACTACTAACAAACTATCGAATCTTTCAAAGCAAAGAATTTGACAATTGCCACTAACGGATGCAGATATGATAAACTTTTCTTTCTATCTGTAATAGGCAAAGATTGAATAAAGCATAATTGTAGTGGTATTACGACACCATATATACTAAAAATAATTACTGGTTGTATTCTTATTATATAATCTAAAATTCATTCGTTCAATTCCAATGATTGTTAATTGTTTTCATGAAAATATTTATTGTTAATTCAAAACTCAAAAAATATAAAATAGATTGGAACAACACAGCAAAACGATTTCAAATAAAGAAAAAGCAAGTTACAAAATAATACCAACTAACAAAATTGTATTTGTCTTCTACACTCATAGTCTTCATATCAAAAAAAAATAAGAAAATTATGTTCGGTCGTGAACGAATCTTTTATGCCCGCCTTCGTTATCCTAATGGAGACAAAGAAAAGAGTAAAAGAATTAAATTTTCATGTTCTATAATATGGAATGGGATTTTTGTTACAAAGGCGTGTTCTTCGAAAAGTTTAAGTCACTGCCAAATTCTTTTGCAAATTTGCGGGCGATGTCTTCATTTTCGCTAATGGGAAACTGTTTACCACCTGCAATACATAGTTGCGCAGAAAGACAGATGGACAGACGGACATATCTCGGAGCATTCGATATTTAAAACTGCTTAAGGATTAATATACTTTTTGGGAATTTTGAAGCTTGTTTCTGCGGCGTATTGACAAAACAACTAAATATTGATACACTATAATATTGAATAGGCATGCTAAATTTTATTCCACTTCTATATAAATGCTACCACCCTCGCCCAAAGAATATGCTTTCAAATTATTGTACATTTATCTGCTATAGTTTATGAGTAATGAGCAAAAAAACAATTTGTTGTTCCTTTTGAAAAACAGAGTTGTTCTCACTTTACGTGGTATTGTGGGCGTGTCCTTCGATTGATTTGGTCCTATCAGCTTGCGTCCAGTTTGCAGTTGATATTTTAACTTTTGGGGTCAGGAGAATGTTTATGACAGTCATTACATAGATTAATGGTAAGCCGAACGGACACACGGACGGGGTTAAATCGATTTATAACTTAATGTCTATCAAAACATATATATTTTGTGAGGTCTCTGATGCTTTCTTCTGTTCGTTTCAAACGTTTTGACAAAACTAATATACCCTACCCCGAAGAGGTGATGGATATGAAAACAAAAAAATAATTTTCATACGTTTTCCTGCCTGGATAGCTTATAGTCTAAGCTGTAGAGTTGCTGCATATCTAAATATATATGTGTATATTTTGTACACACTCATCGTATACACACCCTTATTACTTCTGCCAACTTCATCTGAGTCCGAAGTAAGAATATAAACCAAGATCACTTTTCTATGTTCACGTTGAATAAATACACTGGCAAGATGCCCGGACATTGAAATTACGCTTAATATACAAAGGATGCATTTGAAAGAGCAAGAGAGTGACCAAGATACGAAAAGCTCGAGGAAAAGTCAAATAACGAGAAGTTTAAGATTAAGTTGTTGGGGCCAATGATCCGTAAAGGCATACCTGCCGCGCGACCAATAGATGGTAGCACCACCAGCACACTTTCTAAATCACCGTTTACACTTGTTGATCCTTAGTAAATCTCTGTAAAGATCGTAAATTTTCTTCGTTCTTAGTGCTGCATTGAAGCCCGCATGAAAGGGGCGAAAAAATACACAATGACGAATATATTTAACAGAAGATACAGACACCGATAATTTCTTATAGGGTTTCTATAAAAAAGATTGCACTTGTCAGAACCGTTTCTACACTAGCAAGCTTCTTTATCGAAAACTTTAAAAGAATACGTCCTTCTTCCTCAACGATCGGTACACAACTAATGGCGAAAAAAAATCTTTACAACTAATTAATTACTTGTGGGTCCTCGTATTATATATGAACGCCTCATTTACTAAATCGATTGGTTTCATAAAAATAAGAGTTTTGAAGAAGATGAAATTGGTTTTGCTAGTTATATATGACGCTAGATTTACGGTACCCGGGTTTTTGCATAAATTGTAGTAGAAAACCGATATTTCAATGTCTTCTGCATTGTGAACGTGTCTGCAAATAGATTTCGCCCATCTTTCTACCTCGCATTCTTACTCGACCAAGAAACGGTTTTGCCAAATTTCATCTTCCTATCTTCACTTTTGCGATTGTGACGATATAAAAAATTTACCCGTCTAATTGACGGGTTTTCAATAATCTTGTCAGAATATACGTATGTATAAAGTCAGTTACATAATATATATATTTATATATAGAACCAAATACATATATATAAATATATCCACCTGAGCGGCCGAGTAGGCAAAGGATGTCGACTAACAACTCAATGGTTGTGGGCTCAAATCTGAAGTGCAATAGTATTCCCCTAAAAGGCGATTGTGCCCTAGATGCTATTGCTCTAAGACTTTAGGTCTTGCAGTTTATTTCCCTGACTAGGTGTAATGATAATAATAATAACAACATAAATATAAGGTATATGTGTCGGCTCCTTTTACCGATTGGCGCTGCTTTCTGAATTTTTAACACATTATTGCCCACATAACCGCAATCGTGGTTTGAACATGAGACCACAAAGAGCACGCAGATAGCAAAAAGAAGATTGTAACTTACAATCCTTAATCGAGTTATAATATATTGATCTGTGC